AAAAAGAGAGAAAGAGAGAGAGAGAGAGAGAGAAAGAGAGATTCAAACAAAGAAAAGACGTATAACGGACAGAATAGAGAAAAGGAAAAAAAAGGATTAGAAAAGAAAGAGAGACATGATCAGTGAGACAGAGAACAAAACCAAGCAAGAAAAAAAGTGAAGAAATCAACGGCAAAATAAAGAAAATGATAGAGAGTGGGAAATGGGGGGGGGGGATATGGAGAGAGAGAGAGAGATAGAGAGAGAGAGAGAGAGATAGAGAGAGAGAGAGAGAGAGAAGGGGCAGGGAATGATGGATCTGTAATAGAAAAAAAAAGAGATGAATATCGAGATAGAGACACTAATTGATCAGAGACACAGAAAATGGAAAAAAGAATAGAAAAAGAAATACAGAGCAAGATAAGAAAAGGAGAGAAGGGGAAAGAGGGAGAGAAAGAGAGAGAGATTCGAAGTGCGTGTGGGAGGAAAGTGGGAGAGTTCAAATGGATATTTTGCGGTCTAAATGAAGTCCACAAAGCTATAGATTACAACCCAAACGTCGAAATCACAAGGAAGCGCAATGGGCACCGCGATCCTTATATTAACTCACCGCTGATCCCTTACAGAACCGGCCAAAAGCCCTAAGAATGCAGGCCCGTATCACGTTACCGAACTCTTCCCAATAACGCTGCATCTCTTCGTTTATACCGTTAATTGCGCTACAAAGCAATCAACATATGATACTCCCAAAATATAGAGCATTATACAATCTTGTATGAAGAGATAATGAGAAGGAGAAGGAGGAAGAGAGAGAGAGAGAGAGTGAGAGAGAGATGAAAATTGATGGAGAAGAGGATGGAGAGAGGGAGAGATGGAAAATGAGAGAAATGAGCAAACCATAAACAAATAGAATTTTACTTTCATATTGATTGTGTCAGAGAGTAAGAGAGAGGGGAAGAGGAAGAGAGAAAGAGAAGGGGATAGGGAGATGAGCAAATCATTACAGTACTGGAAAAGGAAAGAGGGAGAGAGGGTGACAGTGAGCGAGGGACAGAGAGTAAAAATATAAAATAAATAGAGAGCGGAAAGATGGGAAAGGGATATGAAAGAAATATTTGACTTCGATATTGTATCGTGTCATATTGGCTGTATAAGCATCCAAATACCTGCTTTGATCCACTTTTTGAAGCAGCTGTTTGCCGGTCGGGGGAAGATCGGTAGTGTATCGGAATCTCACGAGACTTGTAATTTACTGAAACTCAATCGGGCGACCATTTAAACCAAATGCATCTCTCCTCTTAATCCCAACAAAGGGGGAGAAAAAGATAGCACGAGAAGAAAAGAGTGAGAGAGCCTCGGCCGGCCACGAGCATTTTCCAAGAGCGACCCTTTCAAGTGATCCGACAGAAAGAAAAGAGTGGAATTTGTAATAAAAGAAGAGAGGAAATATGCTGACTTGGGGATCACTTTCAACGGGCTTCAGCTTGTTTATTGCAATCGATAAATGAAACTCCTTGTTTGGTTGCTCGTCTGCACCTCGCGGGGGCGCACTCCCGCCCCTCCGTAAAAATAACGGCTTCAATCGGAGTGGAGTAATCAAGATTTAATGAAAGTGTGGTTATGGTTTTAGGACATCCTGATGCGAAGTGTAGTTTTAATGTCATCGTTAAAAAGGATAATACAAATCCCATTATGCCTCCCGAGCATGCAGCTTGATGCCGTGAACGCGATTCCTCTCCGAACCGAACCGCAATATTATCTGTTACATCATGATGATGCGTGTGGCAGGAGTTTCTTCAGGCATCCATGTAAATAACTCTTGCTATCTTATTCTACGTGTATTGAGATTTGAGAAGCTCGAGTAGCAATAGACACAACTTTAAGTATGGGAATTTGTAATGTGAACTATAGCCTATGTTCATAGAGTTTCTCTGAAGTCCTTCGCAAATATAATTAAAAGATCAGCACAAACTGCAAAACTAATTCAGCTAACTTCTGACATCCTTACTTTTTCCACACACATTTTTTCGAAAATATGTATTTCTTGAAAATACTGTTATTCTTAAGAAGTGGCAAAGGTGTGTACAGAGAAGGTATTAATTACCATGCGGATAAAACTAATTTGTTATTTTGATTCATTACTATACTGCATTTGATGCCAAGAATTTTTAAAAGGAAATTGAGTTTCACAATCCTAAATTGGCAGCATGTAAAGAGATTCAAAGTCATTGTTTTGCCATCAAATTTCCACTTTTGGACAACATTCTCGCCCATGTATGTCGTTTCAGAGAGAGACTGTTTGAACAATGTAGTATTTAAGGAAAAATATGACTGCTGCCAATTTGAAGAACAATTTGTGATCAATTAAGCCCTTAATATAAATCCTGGTCTGAAAGGGTTAAGTACACCCAATACAGAGCATGAAGTGAAAATTTGAAGGGGAGACAAAAGGGGGCTAGAAAAAGAGAGGCAGAGAGGACAGAGTACATTTTTAAGACCCAAGTTCTTTCAACCAAAAATGAATAATTCATCCCCATTTTAAAATTACAAGAATCCTTTTTCACAAAGATCTGTTCAGAGCCAAAAGGGCATTAAGTAACACCAAGTTTCTTACAAAGACTTAA